CGAAATCATAATAATGATGACGATTATTTCTATTTCTAAAGAAACTACGAGCAGCTGTTGCAGCAGAAGGAGTAGAAATTATATGACGAGGACCAGTCTTAATTTTAACAGTTTTGCAGATTTTATTTCTAATAATATTTTTATCTCCTTCACCTTCACTGTCACTATCGTCGTCGTTGTCGTCAGACATAGAAACAGCGGCCATTAATGAACCGGTTACTACCGAGGTTGGTTCAGATTGATAACCAAAACATTCCTCATTGTTATTTAATTTGTGATTTCCATTTAGACAATTTGATTCGAACTCTTCAATTTCACGTTGTAAATAACGTAGATCATCATGTAATGAGGAATATTGGTTACGAAATTGGTCATAATCTGATTGTTGATCTTTGCGTGCCAAATCTATATCCGATTGAATTTTTTCGCATCTTAATTGACTCTCGTCAACTTCCTCCTCGTCGTCTTCATTGTTGCCAGGTTGATTTAGTTGTTGCTGAGTTTTTTTAAATTTTTTATTAGAGTTATTTGAAGAAAGTGGTAACCTTAATCTTGCTGCAGCCTCCTCTATTGCTGATTTTTTTGTTTTTACCATTGACATTTCCGGTGATGTGGGAGTTAGTTGTTCTGCTGATTCTATGGTTCTTTTAGTTGCTGTTGTTGTTGATCCTTTATCAGTTGATATTATTCTTTGATTTTCCATTGTTTTTTACACTCAAAATAATTTCTTGGAGAGTTGTTTGTTATTTCAGTTTTTTTTTTAAAAAAAAAAAGAGGTCAAAAAAAGAGCTATAGTTGTTGATATTTTTCGTTAGTAACCAATTGGTTCGTGCAACGACGTGGGTTCAGCCAATCAACAATGCTCAACGAACAGGGACCCGAGCTTTGCAATCGAAAGATGGGACCGTCGATCCAAAAAGTAACATGGATTCTTGAAAATCGTTTCCTAAAACCAAAAAATTTGATCAGGTGGTCACACACGTATATCAATTCCATATTTACAACTCGTGTTACATGTCTTGAACCAAATCACTGGAACACTTTGTGTTTATCATTACTTGTGAGTGTGAGGATGGTGAGTGTAAGTGGTGATTAGGTGTGTAAAAATTTTACAAGTTGAAAATTGCGCAGAGAAATAATTTATTTTTCATCATTTATTATTATTATTTTATATCACACACATTCATTT